CCCCCCCCCCCTGTACCTCCCCTCCCAATTCAAGTTTCGCCCCTGTTTGGTAGGGATGCAAGTACCTGAAAAATACAAGCATAATGTTTTGAGCGAAGGCCCTTCGTCTGGAAGTTTGTTGCGGGGTCTGGGAAATTACATGAGCTTTTATGATCATATGACAAAAATTAAACCAATCAGATGCACTTGGTCATAACAAAGTATAACAAAAAATGTTAATAACATTATAGAATATATTAATACAATTATACAGAAAACTACATATACATCTGCAAATTAGCATATATCAACACTATATATTGTTATTATTTAAAGTTGCACCTCTCACATTGTATAGATGTTCTTATTCTGGGTTACATATATTATGCTAATTTGTATATAGTATTATTTTTACCTAACCATATCATAACCTATGTAAACCATTGTATTTCTTTAAAAAAAACAAGATATCAGTTGATGTCCACATCATTATATTAATTTTGTGTTGTATGCAATGATTTTTGCCTGCAGATTGATTGAGATAAGAAAATAAAAAGCTGAATGTGCAAATAATTACTTCTGGCAAAATGTATTGCTTTGAATCCCTGGTCTGTAGGTCAACAATAAATGCATGCAGTGCCAGTCAAATGGTCATGAAATTGGACACCTTTTTCAAAGAGATTTTTCTTCCCGTGTAAGTAAACCGTAGTACCCAGAGAAAACCTACAACACTTGGTTCAGGGTTGACTCATTTCAAAATTCCAACACCAATATTGCAAAGAGAAATTAGATTTTTAACTTTCACTTCACTGGGTATTTATAGGAAACCAGTCATCAGAGAAACATACCCTGACATCATGAAATGGACAACTATTTGGCAATTCCCATTACTTGCTGGTCATTGCCACAGTACCAGTATAAATACATGTAATAATGGTACATACATGCTGATAATTTTGGAGACATAGGTAGAAGTGATTTTGGTAGAAATGACAAGTTATGCATGGGCATTTTAAGAATTACCAATTATCTTAACAATGTCTTGATATGTTTGCAACAGCTGTGAAGAGTCATTGGGTATAAAGGGACCAAGGGTGACAATCCATCACAGAAAGGAAGGGATGGAGGCAGCCAATACACTATTTTGAGAGAATACATCTTCACAACTGTTACAATATACCTGAATATACTTTAATGGATTATAATATTTCAGACATTACTAGCAAACATGCTGAGGAAATCCATTGACATTCCACTCTCCAAACCATATACAGTTGAAAAACTTTGCCCAAAGTAGCCAGGCACAACATCCTTGGACAAACCAGATAATAAAGCAAATAACTCGTTGACAAAGCGCATTAAAGTAAAACAAATAACAATAGCCTTCTTGACATCACAGTGAAAACAAAATGGTTCAACAAATCTGTACAAACCCCGAACATTTCCTGTGATTATTGAAAACATGATAAACTGAGTAAATAAATATGGGTTTCTGATGCTCGTTTTGCCCCCTATCCGCCGTCGAATTCCTGCCAGCCACAGCCGAGCTTCCCTTTGTAGTATTGGCGCTGGATTTATGGAATTAGTCATCTTCCGTGGCACATTTAATCCAGAGAATCATGAGCTTCGAGTAAAGTTTCAACTTGCTCGGCACATTCATCCACGAAAAACGCGACGTTTTGGCAGCTTTTCTCCCGAGTGCTACTACCAAGGGCCTCCATTACTTTCTGAAAATAATCTATCGGCCGTTCGACGCAGTTGTCGTTCAAAATATCTTGATTTAAGACCTCTTCAAGACTAAAATTGCCAAATAATTATGCTTACGCAGCATTTTTTGAAGAATACCGCAGGTCATAATGAATGGCAAACTAGCGTTTTCGCATGCAAAAATGCCAGGCGTGTGATGAAAGCGGGCGTCCAATTTTGGCATAACAATACATCTACAGTAAGGGGGGGGGGTGTTCAGGAAAACGTTACTCTGGAAGACCTTTGAAGTTTATGTTACTTCATGTCAGTATCTGTTCCAAGCTTGTTCGAAATTTATCAAACACACTTGCCTTTGTGAGTTTGTACCGCTATGCTTCTTTACTTAACTACGACATTTTCATTCAGCCAGGTACAGCAGGACCCTGGCTAAAAGCCTGCCAAGTACCAACCACCACCACGTATGGAAACCACAGAGTATTTTAACAAAATACAGAACAACGGTAACTCCTAACAGTGACAACATTTTATTATGATTCTGTAGTCATCTTCAGGAATGCTGCTGACTACAGCCTAGACAAAACATAGAACTGACAATAAATTGTTTTCACTGTTTGGAGTTACCGTTGTTCTGTACAAGTGCAGTTTACCTTCTACTATAAGTGATTATGTGAGAGTAAAACTTATTAAAGGTAATAAGACCTATAATTAGCCTATTAATTTGAATATTTGCACAAAAATCTATTTCGAGTGAATGTTTGAGAGTTGAGACAAACCTTAACAAATCTGGAGTGAGGTTACTCGACTTCTTGCCTTGGAGGGTGGAGAAGAGTGAGATGCTTTCTGTTGCAACCGGTAACCTCACATGAGCTTCCTTTCATACAGCCCTTGCCCATGTGACCAGCAATGAAGCAGTTGTCGCAAAGCTTAACCTGCCGAACAATCTTTATTTTCTCCACATATGGTTTCTTCTCAAATACCTTGCATTTCGTCAGTGAATGCCACCCACCGCAGGATGGACATTCCGTTTTTGCATGGTTCTCCTTGGGCTTGGGAACGACGTTTTCGTCCCGATTCAGCAACTTCTCTCCTTCCTCTGCTCAAATATTAAAGTTGAATTTTTGTTCTGGTTTCTGCTGGGAAACCTTGTTTCGGTTTTGATTTCTTTCATCGAAAAGAATTCAGGCAAAGACGGGATTATTGGCGGTCTTAGTTCCGGCCATAACGAACTGTGAGATGTGGTGTAGTCAATGTATTTTCACAACCTCTCAGCTGGTCTGCAAATGCCAAAAGCTTAACCCTGTCCACAGGCGTGATCGAAGCACCATCCCATAGTAGGTAGAAAAGTACATGTATGTACATAGGCCCGATCATAGTGGGACACAATCCAATTCAGGCAAAAAGGGTAACTAAAATCACGACTCACATTCACAGAATGTATATAGTATATGGTAATGCCCATCCCCATGGCAAATAGTCTGCAGAAAGCAACCGCACACTTAGGCTCATTCCTGCTACAAAGTAACTTTCCAAGAGGAAAAGGCCAAAACTATGCAGCATCTGCATTCTGTGGGATGCACATTTGCATTCAAATGACTTCAAATTGCCAACTGTGGAGAATACATACATGCACCAATGTTTGGGAGATATGGACATGCTTAGATTAGACAGATACCACAACACTTATCTAAACAGGTCATTATTGAAGGTTAACTGTGTCGGAGTATATACACTGAGTTTATGAATACCAGGTTGCCTTTTCACACATCCGAATCGTCAGCATAATATATCAGTGACGTCCCAATCTCCTGTACACCTGCACTCTTCTTCAAGAATTCTTTGCCACACTTTGTACAAATAGCAGAAATTACATTTCACTTTCCATATTTCCTTTGAAGCTGTTGTATGTCAGTGCTGTGTGCCTCTGTGTAACATTTCCCTTAAGAGGGCAAAATAAACACATATAGAAATGAAAACTTGAATGCACTAACAAAAGTTGAATACTGTATTTTCTCTATTTAGGCCACCCATTGGGCTAATTAAATTTATTGTAGTAATGTATATAGTTCTTAAGGAGGGAGATTTATAGTAGCACAAGGTTAACAGTGGGAGAAGACATTTTCCGGGTAGAAGGTCTATTGTTTACAGTTAACATAAAATAGGTGAAAATTTAATTTACAGTGTATGAAATTTACATTTATTGCATGAAGATTCTATATGGGGTGGCTTAATAGAGGGATGAATTTAATAGATGAAATGCAGTAATGTTTCTTCCTCAAATTAATGAACAGGTTTCTCATCTCATAATCAATTAACACATACCATCTTGTTTAGTATGGGTTTGCCAAGGACAGTTATATGTAGCAGAAGCAGTTGGATGCCTTCCAGTTGATGTGATAGTCAAGTCAGCATTTTTTTTTGTAAGGTAGAATATGTGAACGATTTACCGGTATTGTTGGTCATTTTCTATTTCAACATTGAATAGCATGTCACTGATCTTTTTTCTTGCAACAGTTCGTTTAAATGTTTCTACAATGTACTTCCCAAAGGCATCTGCTTCATCATCTGCTGATGAACATGGTGGGGGTTCTTTAAGAACTGTAAAAGTTGTGTGATACATTACCACCTTTGCTTTCATAAATTCCTTTTCTTCACTTTCAATAATAGCTTTACAGTTTGCATGCCCTTGCTTGTTCTTTGGAGGCTCAGTCTCAGTGCTGACATCTCCACTTTCACTAGGGATGGGATCATCCAATGTACTTGTGGAGCAATCAAAGTCATTACATTCTCTCGCAAACATCACACTGGGCGAAAAATCAAATAATCCGACCTCTATACCTCGGAATATTGTTAGGAATATTAGTAATATTCGGGGATATTCTGAGGTATTTGCTCGGAATATTTCCGGAATACTCGTAGTAATCTGCACAGAATACGTTGGAATAAACTACGCCAAATATTCCGAAGCAAAATACTGTCGGAATACTATATATGGGAAGAATTTATACATTTTTAATATTTTCCAGTTAAATTGATTTTCTTTATGGAAGCTGGCTTGTTGTCCCTGGGGTGAGAGATTGGAATAAGTAATGTTTAATGTAAAAGTAGGTCACATCTGGTGTGCCTAAATGCTAATATTTTTATTGCGGATAGCGCAAGTTAAACCGCCAACGGGAATCGCAACTTATGATATGAGATTAATGTGTGTACAGGAACTTAATTATGTAGCTACTCATTTGTCAGTAGCCATCTGAAAGCTGGAAGAATTTTAATCATGTTTGCTACTCATTTATGTCGCATGATATGATGTGCACTTTTAAACTATCCATCAATTTCATATTCATGTAGGAAAGGGAAATATACAGGAAAAACTGAATTTCGCTCTCAATTTCGCAAAACTGCTATTAGTATCCAGTTTTGATCTATATAGTTTCTTCATAGGTACTAAAGCAAGGAACGACCTACAACCACCTACAACGACCTACAACGACCTACAACCACCTACAACGATGCTACAACGATCTACAACCACCTACAACGATGCTACAACCACCTATAACGACGCTACAACCACCTACAACGACGCTACAACCACCTACAACAACCCTATAGCAATCCTACAACGACCCGGCTCGTATGTATTAAATATTTTCCGAAATTTTAGTATATTTAATGGCTGTGAAGCAGCATGCCATGTCGCACGGTAAATTACAATTTGGCGCGAAGTGCCGAAGTGTCCCGAAGTAAATGAA